AAGGCAAGGTGGCGACGGGATGGACACGGACACTCAGCGTGGCGGCGGAGTCCGGAGCGGCGATGAAGGTGGAAGGCGAGCCTGACAGGGATGCCCCACCGGCCAGTGCAAGAGAGAGGAAGGGGACGCATGGCGCGATAGCTTCGGCTGGGCCGGCCCATGAGCGAGAGGGGACGGGTGACGCTGGGCCATGGGGAGGAAGAGCTGGGCCTACGCGCTAGCGTGGGCCAAAGCGTCAGCAGACAGAAGCAGGCCGAGGAGAGGAAGCGGCCGAGCTAGGCTCGCGTAGGAGAAAAAGGAAAAGGGTGGGGAGAAGCAGCCCGACTGCTGGGCCAAAAGAGGGAGGAGGAGTACTTTTCCCATTTTCAATCCAAATTCAAATATGACCAAAGTCAAATTCAAATGGTGCTTCAACCACACTTTTCAATTCAAACAAAATGAACAATTTTAGTAAGTTTTCAAACATAAATTTCTACCACTTTTTAAATTCTTTTATTTTCCAATTCTCTTTTCTTTTTTTCTTTTACTTCAAAGCCATTTTTAATTTCATTTGTAAGAGCAATTTAAACCATTTGAAATTTTCAATCAAAACTACTCAACCAAATAGATCAAATGTAAGGGCATGTATGCTCAAACATGTTGCTAGCTTATGATGAATTTTAATTTAATGAAATTTTTTATTTTCCTATATTTCATGTGCACAAAAATTCACAAATAAATCATTTTAAACCTATTTTCAAAAGAGGCAAATTTTAGGGTGTTACATCTTGCCTTTCACTTGAGTCAAGTCCTTGGTGAGGCGAGCCACTTCTTGCTTGAGTTGCTCATTCTCTATTGCAACCTCTTGTGTGCATGTATCTACAACAACTTTCTCAACATAAACTTGGTTGCACAAGGGTGAGTCTAAACATAAATCATTGCAAAAAGTGGAGGCATCCTTTTTAGGCATGTAAAAATTGAACCTTTCTTTGTAGGTGCCTCGGTGAGGGTAGTATTGATGGGTTCAAGATTAGCAAATTTATTAGTTAGCTCATCATAATGTTTGCACATAGTTTCTATTTTAGCAAGCAAACTTTTATAAGCATCTTGTGAGCTAGCTAACTTTTTCCTTAATTTTTTATTTTTCTTTACAAGTTGCTCATCATTGATTGTGCAATTATTTGTGTTTGCACTAGTCTCAAGTTGGTCAACTTTAGTAGATAGCTTCATATTAAGATTGACAAAAGTTTCATATTGTTCAAGCAAGGTAGCATAAACTTGTTGTGAGCTATCTAGTTTTTCTTTTAATTTTACAAGCTTCTTTTGTTGACTAGTGCAAACTTTAGCAAAGTTAAGATTTTCTTGCACAATTTCATCATAATAAGGTAGCTCATTATCACTATCACTATCATTGTCACTATCACTAGGGATAGACTTTTTGTAACCTCGTGCCATAAGGCACACACGTGAAGTGCTTATGATGAGTGCTTGTGTCCTCACCTCTTGTGATGGTCTTCTTCTTCACTTGAAGAATCATCCCATGATCTTATTGATGTGAGGGCTTTGTCCTTGCATGCCTTCTTCTTTGTCTTGAGTGTGGGCTTATTTGGATAAACTTCCATAAAGTACCCCAACTCACCGTATCCATAGCATCCTTTCTTTCTTTGCTCATTTCTTTGATTGGTGAAGATGAAATCTTGAATTTGGATGGGCACACCCTTGACATTGAGCCTTTGGATCATCTTCTCCACCTTGTTGATAAGTTTGATTGATTCTTCATCAAGGTCGGAGGTGGAGGAGAAAGATTGATCATCATCACTTGAGTCTTCATCATCATCATCATCATCTTCTTCATCATCTTTACTTGAGGAGGTTGAGCTTGAGCTTGTCTCAACTTGCTTGCCCTTCATCTTCTTTTTCTCACTACATGTGAGAGCTTTGCCTTTGCTTGATGAAGAGGCTTCTTCTTGACCCATCTTGCGTGACATTTTAAATGCCACTATCTTGCCAATGACTATGGCCAGAGTTATGGTGCTCAAGTCCCCTAGGTTGTGTAGGATGGTGATGATGCTTGCATATTTCTTTTGTGGTAGCATGGAGATGATCTTCATCATGATGTCTGCATCATCTAGCTTTGTTAATCCTATTGAATGGAGCTCATTGATAATTAGATTCAAACGAGAATACATATTATGAACAAGCTCATCATAATTCATTTTAAAGGAATCATAATTTTGTTTAGCTAGACAATGTTTTTGCTCACGGACATTAGTTGTGCCATCATGGAGCTCTTGAAGTTTTAACCAAATATCATGCGCCGTATTTAAAGTGAACACTTCGTTAAACACATCCATGCTAAAAGATTCAAACAAGTAATTTTTAGCTCTAGCATTGAAATGCATTTCCTTTTCTTCACTCTTTGTGGGTTTATCGGGATTCTTAATGGGTTTCATCCCATCATGAGTGACTCTCCAAACACCCAAATCTACCACCTCAATGTGACAATCCATTCTAGCTTTATAGTAAGGGAAGTTAGTGCCGTCATAGTGCGGAGGCCTAAAGGTATCCATCCCAACCACTCTAAATAGCGTCGGCTCAACGGCAGTGAAACCAAAGGTCCAAATTAGGCCAACCAGCTCTGATACCACTTGTAGGGGAATGTGACGCCTAAGAGGGGGGGTGAATTAGGCAACTTAAAAATCTAACTCTAAACTATGGCCTTTTTTTCTAACCTTAGCAAAACGTATGCAAAAGATAAACTATCTAAATGTGCAACTATGGTTTTGCTAGTGTGTTGCTATCTCTACCGCAAAAGGAGTTATGCAAATAATGTAAATGCGAAAGCTAAAGAGTAAGGTAGAGATATGCAAACTCCCATCGACGACTTTGGCATTTTTACCGAGGTATCGAGAAGCGCGCAAGCTTCCCCCTAGTCCTCGTTGGAGCCCCATGCAAGGATCCTTCGCAAGGGCCAAGCTCCCAGTCGGGTCACTCCGTGGATAGCCCCGGGCCATCCCCATGCGCAAGTGGGTCTCTAGCGTACCTCTCCTGGATTGCTCCCTGCCGTCTTCATTGTCAAGCTTTTGGCCGAACCGCCGCGGGTCTTGTTCCCTTCGATACACGGTGGCGGCCACACCACAAACGCGGTTGGTGTGATCTCGCAAGACTACAAGCCCCTCCGATGTACAAAAATAGTGCGCGCAAGCACCGAGTGGTAAGAGGTATGCAAACTTCACTAAACACTAGGCCTAAACCTAGAGCAAGCGCATAAGCGGTGGTCTAATCAACCTAAGCACTTCCACCTCACGCTAATCACCTAATGAATCACGAAGCACTATGCAAGTGGAGATCACTAAAATGGTGTATCAACACCCTTGATATGTTTCCTCACTCCACACACTTCAAATGGCCGATTGGGAGTCTATTTATCAACCCCAAGAAAGTAGTCTACAAATCCCCTCCGATGTACAAACCGTTAGCGCGCGATCAACCGGATCGACGTTGATGGCGCCCGGTCACATGCCACCGGACGTGCACACAACTTCACCGCCTCTAGAACCTCTCTGGTCGAAGAATTCCTCGTTCGGTCGATGCAAACCTCATGAGCTGTGTCCGGTCACTTTTAGTTTCCGGCCGCACTAGGCCTAATTTCTTCGAATATGTTCTTGAGTTTATTCGAGACTTGAGCAAAACTCAGATTGGAGAAGAATATGGTCCCTGGGTTCCCTTTATTGGAACTATGTTCCTTTTTATTTTTGTTTCGAATTGGTCAGGTGCTCTTTTACCTTGGAAAATTATAGAGTTACCCCATGGGGAATTAGCAGCGCCCACGAATGATATAAATACTACTGTTGCTTTAGCTTTACTAACATCAGCGGCATATTTTTATGCAGGTCTTAGCAAAAAAGGATTGAGTTATTTCGAAAAATATATTAAACCAACCCCAATCCTTTTACCTATTAACATCCTAGAAGATTTCACAAAACCATTATCACTTAGTTTTCGACTTTTCGGAAATATATTGGCGGATGAATTAGTCGTTGTTGTTCTTGTTTCTTTAGTCCCCTTAGTAGTCCCTATACCGGTCATGTTTCTTGGATTATTTACAAGCGGTATTCAAGCTCTTATTTTTGCAACGTTAGCCGCAGCCTATATAGGTGAATCCATGGAAGGTCATCATTGAATTAACTAGTTTTTGAAATAGTCTTTTTTTTTTTTTTAGCTTAGCCCAATTCATGCATGATTCCGGATAATCCTCTTAGTTGGAAAACTAAATAGTTCGAAAGGCGTATGAATATACAACCTAGAGTTGTAGGAGAGAGAATAGACTATATTATGGAAGAGGTAAAGTATATATGCATTCAGGGGGGCGGAATCAGGTTAGATCTATATCCTTAATGCCTATAAGACAGTCATCTTTTGTGTGGCTTTCTAAGGAATGATTTTAGAATCGGATTCAATAGAAAATGAGAAAATACGCAAACAAAATAGAAGAAACAAATGTATATGGGATTTTTTTTATTCCTAAGTTAGATTCATTATCTAATCCGATATATAGAATTCCCTTCTATATGGAACTGGATTCCATATCAAGTTCTATGCAGCATATTGTTATCAATTGTATATCTTGATTTGATTCCTATTGGATTTGGATTAGTTCGATTTCAATAGGGGTTCTTCCTGTATTTCGTCTTTTATTATGTTAGATGAATATTATGTTAGATGAAGGGGAAAAAATGGGAACTCAAAGATATCAAAGAGTAAAAAAAAAAGGATGGAATAAAAGAGTGATTGGTTGAAAAGAAAGAGAAATAGAATAATGAGAATCATATGGATTTACACAAACCTCTAATGATTAGAAACTAAAAACGAGATCTCGAAGTAATTCGAACGATTTCGATTATCATTTATTTGTACTTATTAGTTACTTCTACCCGATAGAGCTTAGAAGTTGGAAGTAATAATTTCTTGGTTCATTGTATCCTTAACCATTTCTTTTTTTTTGACACGAGGAACTCACCATGAATCCACTAATTGCTGCTGCTTCCGTTATTGCTGCTGGATTGGCCGTAGGGCTTGCTTCTATTGGGCCCGGAGTTGGTCAAGGTACTGCTGCAGGACAAGCTGTAGAAGGTATTGCGAGACAGCCAGAAGCAGAAGGTAAAATAAGAGGTACTTTATTGCTTAGTCTAGCTTTTATGGAAGCTTTAACAATTTATGGACTGGTTGTGGCACTAGCGCTTTTATTTGCGAACCCTTTTGTTTAATCCTAAAAAAGAAAATAAGTCCTTTAGATTAGATACTTTTTTCTTTTTTTAGTACATTGGTATTTGCTTATGTAATTCTAAGTATATCAATACTTTACTCCTATTTATTATATTATTTATTTTTTATATTATTCCGGAAATTTTGTATTTATCGGGACAGACAATACCCTAGGAACCCCAAGAAGGGCTGATTTGAGCATGATCAATTTAGAGGATATGCTCGCCCTCTTCCTTCCCGTCCTTAGTTTAGGACAGTGGAAAGTATTTTTCCTTTTATTTTAGGAATTTTGGGAACATTTCAACAAAGGAGATCTTTCACAGGTCAAACGAGACCTAAGATTTAATCTAAAAGAAATTATTAGATTGAATCTATTTGCATTAAAAAAATTGCATTAAAAAAACCGATCAAAAAAGGACGAGCGAAGTAAGTGATCGAAAAACTTTCTTCTTTGTTCGTCCTATCTATAAGAGGAGAGCATATGAAAAATGTAACCCATTCTTTCGTTTTTTTAGCTCACTGGCCATTCGCTGGGAGTTTCGGGCTTAATACCGATATTTTAGCAACAAATCTAATAAATCTAACTGTAGTGGTTGGTGTATTGATTTTTTTTGGAAAGGGAGTGTGTGCGAGTTGTCTATTTCAAGAATAGATTGGATCTATCCGGCTGCACTTTAGAATATTTTTAGTATTTTTTTTTGATAAATAAGAAAAGGTGCACGATCTCGACGAATTACTTCTGAATAACTTCAGAAATCATATGGAAGAACCATAGCATTTCGCGATTCATTGGTAAATTTACTTTGATTCTCTATAGACCAATAATGTGAGACCATTAACACGGTTAAAGCTAAACTGCTTGAAGTCCGGGCAAAAAGGGGTACTCTTTCTACAACTACATTAGTATTAGTCTCGAAATGCTTTAAACGGGAAATAGCTAGTGTAGAATTTATCTGATATAGAACACTCATATCGATAAAATAGTTTGAACTATTTACTAGAAGGGCACGCAGTCCTTTTTCCAATGCCAAATGGACGACCTATGTATAAAAAAAAGAGAAATTTTTTGGATTTGAAGAAAAAATAAAAGGAATTCTATCAATTTTTATTTTCCATTTATTTAGTTTGTTTTTCTTAATGAAATTGAAATTATTAACTAACAGAGCAAACACAAATAAAGAAACAACTTTGCTGACCATGATAGATTTTTATCTAGTTGGAAGAGTCCTCTTAATATTCATCTAGTCTTATATAAGTTTGGGTATATAGAAATACAAACAGAAAAGAGAGGATAGAGGATAGGCTCATTACATAAAAAAAAGATATGGAAATAGCCATAATACATAACAAAAAAGAAAAAAAGGAGCGGGAGAGCCAAATGAATCGAAAGATTCATGTTTGGTTCGGGAAGAGATCATAAAAATTGTAAACTTAATAGCAAGATAATCTACTTTCATTAAAAGATTTATTAGATAATCGAAAACAGAGGATCTTAAGTACTATTCGAAATTCGGAAGAATTGCGTAGAGGGACCCTTGAACAACTCGAAAAAGCTCGTATTCGATTACAGAAAGTCGAACTAGAAGCAGATGAGTATCGAATGAATGGATACTCTGAAATAGAACGAGAAAAAGAAAATTTGATTAATGCTACTTCTATTAGTTTGGAACAATTAGAAAAGTCTAAAAACGAAACCCTTTATTTTGAAAAACAAAGGGCGATGAATCAGGTCCGACAACGGGTTTTCCAACAAGCTGTACAAGGAGCTCTAGGAACTCTGAATAGTTGTTTGAATACCGAGTTACATTTCCGTACGATTCGTGCTAATATTGGCATTCTCGGGGCCATAGAATGGAAGAGATAATTAAATTTATTAGGTTTTGAACTTCTACTTTTGTTTAGAATTTAGGCATTATTTTTCCCTTGCTTCCAAAAAAAAATTAAAGAAACACTAATGGCAACCCTTCGAGTCGACGAAATTAATAAAATTCTCCGCGAACGTATTGAACAATATAATAGGAAAGTAGGGATTGAGAATATCGGTCGCGTAGTGCAAGTGGGGGATGGGATTGCTCGTATTATAGGTCTTGGTGAAATAATGTCAGGTGAATTAGTCGAATTTGCAGAAGGGACGAGAGGTATTGCTCTGAATTTGGAATCCAAAAATGTTGGGATTGTATTAATGGGCGATGGGTTGATGATACAAGAGGGAAGTTTTGTAAAAGCAACAGGAAGAATTGCTCAGATACCCGTGAGCGAGGCTTACTTGGGTCGTGTTATAAATGCTCTCGCTAAACCTATTGATGGGAGAGGCGAAATTGTCGCTTCAGAATCTCGCTTAATTGAATCTCCTGCTCCGGGTATAATTTCTAGGCGTTCCGTATATGAACCCCTTCAAACAGGGCTTATTGCTATCGATTCGATGATCCCCATAGGGCGCGGTCAGCGAGAGTTAATTATTGGGGACAGACAGACTGGCAAAACAGCAGTAGCCACAGATACAATTCTCAATCAAAAAGGGCAAGATGTAATATGTGTTTATGTAGCTATCGGTCAAAGAGCATCCTCCGTGGCTCAAGTAGTAACTACTTTCCACGAAGAGGGGGCCATGGAATACACTATTGTAGTAGCTGAAATGGCGGATTCACCCGCTACATTACAATATCTCGCTCCTTATACGGGAGCAGCCCTGGCTGAGTATTTTATGTACCGCGAACGGCATACTTTAATAATTTATGATGATCTCTCCAAACAGGCACAAGCTTATCGCCAAATGTCCCTTCTATTAAGAAGACCTCCCGGCCGCGAAGCTTATCCAGGGGATGTTTTTTATTTGCATTCACGCCTTTTAGAAAGAGCCGCTAAATTAAATTCTCTTTTAGGCGAAGGGAGTATGACCGCTTTACCAATAGTGGAGACTCAATCTGGAGACGTTTCCGCCTATATTCCTACTAATGTAATCTCAATTACAGATGGACAAATATTCTTATCCGCGGATCTATTCAATGCCGGAATTCGACCTGCTATTAATGTGGGTATTTCAGTTTCCAGAGTGGGATCCGCAGCTCAAATTAAAGCCATGAAACAAGTAGCTGGCAAATCAAAATTGGAACTAGCTCAATTCGCAGAATTACAAGCCTTTGCACAATTCGCCTCTGCTCTGGATAAAACAAGTCAGAATCAATTGGCAAGGGGTCGACGATTACGGGAATTGCTTAAACAATCCCAATCAAACCCTCTCCCAGTGGAAGAGCAGGTAGCTACTATTTATACCGGAACGAGAGGATATCTTGATTCGTTAGAAATTGAACAGGTAAAGAAATTTCTGGATGAGTTACGTAAACACCTAAAAGATACTAAACCTCAATTCCAAGAAATTATATCTTCTAGTAAGACATTCACCGAGCAAGCAGAAACCCTTTTGAAGGAAGCTATTCAGGAACAGCTTGAACGGTTTTCCCTTCAGGAACAAACATAAATATAGCATGTCTACTCTTATTAGTATAACTCGTGTTAGTAGAAGAGGAATCGTTGAGAAAGATTTTTCATTTGAATCATGCAAATTTAAAACACGTGATAGGCCGACAGGGTCATCATATCACGAGCCGACGCTTGAAGCTTTTATCAGATGAGGCACTTGTTACCTCTGCAGGCACCTATACTGCTCTGCAGAACCACTATTACATGTGACCTGGAGGTTTACTGTATAGTGTATACGTGAAGGACGAGGCTAACATCCACCGTGTTGCGTTGGGGCTGGTCTTAGGAATGAAATAGACAAATGAGGACGTGGAACATAGGTCTATTATTTTTAAAAATTTCGATATAAAAGAGAGATATTTTTATTTCGTTTGTTCAAGAAAAGAAACGCGTACCTCCGATGCTTCTAGAATGAGGAACATGTTCCATTTTAGTAAAAACGATGTTCCTCCTTAAAAAAACAATGTTCCTAAGACGGCGCATGGACCATCCCATATGAACATGAAGTTGGAGAACTACCACTAACAATGTGCAACTAGAATTCTAGAAATGCATGAGTGGTATAGGATCAGATTATACGGTGAAGATGAGGAAATTGTATTCTCAGGCCAATCTTAATGGGGTTCTATGAGAGTTTAATGTGCATTAAATATGCTGACATGATATTGTATTGACGGAGAGAGATATGATAAAAATTTCATGAATGAAACTCTTCTGTATTGTTTTTAAAATATGGATGTGTTGAAAACAGAAACATGAAACCTCCACTAGGAGCCTTATCAAGTTATCACTATAGATTCCGTTCTTCTCCTCCGAAACTTCGACGTAGGTTGCATTCCAACCTAAGTTTGAAACTATGTACTACATGGTTCCATTGTTCCTAATCCTTGTTTAGGAACAAAGTTCCCCGAACATGAGACTCCCAGTTTGGTTCCACTCCTTCGAACCTTCGATCCAGGTAGCATTCCAACCTAAGATTGAAACTATGTACTACATTGTTCTATTGTTGCTAATCCTTGTTTAGGAACAAAAGTTCTCCGTACATGTGTTAGAGACCATATTCCGAGTTCCGAGCGACTAAGAGCAAGTATAATAACAGGCTATAAACTAACTAAATGCTGAGGTGAAGAAGAGAGAAGAGAAGAGAGAGAAGAAGCATGTTGTAAGCTTACAACCGACTTAGACACGAGAACCAAAAAACTTTGTGAGACACAAGTAAGTCATGTATTAATAGTGAAGAGCTAACTATTATATTGATGGATTGAGAAAAGGCTACAAAGAATCTTCCAGCCAGCAGCCAGCTATAAGAGCATCTCCAACCGATCCCTCACTTAGCCCCCTATCCATCTTTTGAGGGTCAAACCGTAAAAACAGCTCTCCAACCGATCCCTCATCCGACTCCCACCCGATGAGAGACCCTCATCCATCGCCTCCCATCCCTCACATGTAGGGGACCGCACGAGATCCCTCATCCATGGTGGGAGCAACCGCCGTGAGCCTGCGCGCGCTCGGACATCTCCGCTCGTGCCTACTCTACGTCGATGCCGCCGGTCTCCGACGCTGTCGTGCCGGCTCCATCGTCGACCAGGTATGCCCATCCTCCAATCGTATTAGTAGCTATAGAGACTACGAGAGAGAGACCGCATCTACTAGATCCCATCGTGGGGAGAAGATAGATCCGCACAGCTACGGTCGGTTGGAGCAAAGAAGCACCGCCTTTCGTATGCTTGGTTGGGCAGGTCGCCAAGCTCCGCCATGCATCGCTTCTCAGGCTCGAAAGCAAGCAAGCACCGCACGCGCGACGACGGGATCTCGCTTGTGTCTTTGCTATGCCATCCACCATGAGAGAGAGGGAGAATAGGAAGTAGATAGCGAGAGAAACAGTACTACTTTGGTTGTCGCTTGTCTTTGCGCTAGGCGTATTAAACGTGAGAGAGATAGAGCTCGGAGAAGTAGCTAGAAGCACATGGTTGTACTCATGGGTTGTTTGCTTGTCTTTGCTATGCCATCCACCATGAGAGAGAGTGAGAGCATTTATGTACTATAAATGTTTCTATGCTTTGTGCAACCGAACATCTCTCATTAAATTGGTTTGCAATGTACTTTGCGGTAGCAGAAGATGGAAATGCCCAGCTTGATGATGTTTTTGGGAGCAATGTGGACAACACCAGGTTGATTATGGGTCTTATTTTGATATCTCACCCAAGGATGTAATGTTGTTGAACAAGCCTCTCGGTCTACTAAAGGAAGCAAGAAGAGATCAAAAATTTCACTTTAAAAGAGAATAACATGTTGGTGGAAGCATGGCTAGAAGTAAGCTTGGATGCGCTTCAAGGCATCGACCAACCTCGTGCTACCTATTGGCAACGAATTCATGATTACTTCCATGAGCACAAGGATTTTCAATCTGATCGTAATATTAGTTCTCTCTCTCATCATTGGGTATCATTAATGAAAGTGTTAACAGATTTTGTGGATGGTTAACAAATGATTCAAAATAGAAACCAAAGCGGTGTGACCGAACAAGATGAGGTAAGAGGCATTTTCTTTCAATTTGTTAGAAATGTATATGTGCATTCATGGTTACTAACACATATTAAATTGTGTAGATACAACAAGCACTTGAAATGTACAAGGAGAAAGATGAGAAAAAGATCGTTTTCATTGATGCATTGCTTGAAATGTATTGTAGCATGAACAAAAGTGGACCCACCAAAGACACCGCAAAAAATGTAAAGTCATCTTCTAGGGAAGGTCCAAGGTCGTGTACTCCTGAAACCAATGAAAGTCATCTTGGTGATGAAGAGTAGGGTCCTAGCCATACTTCACCAAGGAAAGGTAGGCCTATCGGTAAGAAGAAGGAGAAAGATTGCCGAGGTAAAAATCTTGTCGCTCATGGAGAAAACCTATACATGGAAGCAATGGAAAATATGTGGCTCAAGAGAGAGAAGGCCGAAGAGTTGAGAGAGATTAGGAAAAAAGAGCGTAATGATCAAAGACTAGCTGTAGAGACTAGAAGGCTTGAACTGAAGCAAGAAGTAGAGAATAGGAAGCTTGATCTGAAGCAACGAGAACTACAACTGAAACAAAGGCAGGACAATGAGAAAGTGATGAATATGGATCTTAGTTCTTTGAGTGAGCGGCAACAAATATTCTACAAGACAATGCAAGATCAGATCATTGCTCGTCTTGGTGGTGGAGCACTTTGAGATGACAGCTATATGTGTGGGGCATTATGTGTGTGGGGCAATATTTGTGAACCATTGTGTCATTTAAGTATTGTTGTAGGACCTATGTAAGAACAATATGTCCAAACCACTATATGTGGACTATGAGCTATGTGTGTCTTTAAATAGAAGGCACGATACATGGTGCATGCTTAATAAAACAATGAGTACAAGCCTCAATAATAAATTACATAGTACATGATTACAAGCCTGAATAAATTATATAGTGCTAAATTACATAGTAAAATGATGACTACAAGCCTCAATAAAGTACATGGTACATGATTAATACAAGTCTGCATGACGTTGCCAAAGATGCTCAATTAGGTCCTCCTTAAGCTGGTTGTGGGTTTCCATGTTTCTAATATTGTGATGAGCTTGCATGAACTCATGTAGCTCATGTGTGTGATTATGAACTTCACGCTGTGTAGGTCTCACTAGCTGGCCAATACCCTCATAGTGGAAGTTGTCTTCTTCATTTCGCTCATCTTCGACTATCATGTTATGCATAATGACACAAGTTGTCATAATTTCTCTAAGTGTTTCTTTATCCCAGCTACGAGCTGGCCCACGAACAATGACAAAACGAGCTTGTAAAACTCCAAAGGCTCGTTCCACATCCTTCTGTATTGCTTCTTGTGCCTTGGCGAAGTATTTCCTCTTATTGCCATGCGGATTAGTTATGGTCTTCATAAATGTTGCCCACTTGGGATATATACCATCTGCTAGATAATACCCCATTGTATAATTATGATCATTGATGGTAAAATTAACTTGAGGAGCCTCCCCTTCGGCTAGCTTGGAGAAAAGATGTGAACGGTGAAGAACATTGATATCATTGAGAGACCCTGGCAAACCAAAAAAAGCATGCCAAATCCAGAGATCTTTGGAAGCAACAGCTTCAAGGATGATAGTGGGCTCACGCTTATGACCGGTATATTGACCATGCCATGCCACAGGGCAGTTTTTCCATTGCCAATGCATACAATCTATGCTACCAAGCATTCCTGGAAAACCTCTACGCTCACCTATTGCAAGTAATCTGGCAGTATCATGCTCATTTGGAGATCTTAGGTATTCACCTCCAAACACTTCGACTACAGCTATAACAAACCTTTTAAGACTCTCTAGGGCCGTACTTTCACCAATGCGAATATATTGATCCATAAAATCTGCCGGTACTCCATAACTGATCATCATCAATGCTGCAGTAACCTTCTGCAAACATGATAACCCAAGTCGTTCACATCTCTCTTTTTTGCACAAAATAATTGTCATGTTGTTCTATAGCTTGCATTATGCGAAGAAACAGAGGACGGGCCATTCTAAACCTGAGCAAAGAAATGAGAATAAAAAACTTACACATAGAAAGAGCATGAGAAAAGAGGGCAAATGAATTGACCAAGATATTTGCAAACCTGCGTCGGAATATAGATTCCCCATAGGTTGGATGCTCCGAGAAATAGTCATCGTAGAGTCTAAAATGGCCACTTTCTCTTTCTCTATGAATATAGTTCCGGCCAGGTATAGAACCTCCCCAACGTGGACTATTCAAAGCTAGATATTGAGTGTGGGCTTGGTGTAATGCACTAAGGATGAGCTCAGGCTCATCATCATCATCCGAAGATGAGGATGAATCTAAGCAAGAGAGACGACTCATTTCTGGTGGAGAAGGAACAACAGAGTAGAGAAGGAGCAAAAAACAAATGAGTTGGTATATGAACCAGGTGAGTGTGTAAGCATATATAAAGATAAAATTAGGAGACGTTGGAATATAGCCGTTTGGAGTAGAGCCATTTGAAATAGAGCCGTTCGAAATAGAGCCGTTGGAAATAGATTCGTTTGAAATAGAGACGTTGCAACAAATTTGCTGGAATATGGACTTCTAAAAAAGAGACGTTGAAAAAATTGTCATTACAAAAAATGGCGATTAGAATGTAGCCATTAATCAAAAGTATAGACGTTGAAAATATAGCTGTTAAAAATGGTTGATTTGTTAGTTACAAGATATGCATAAAATAAAGGTGGGAGAAAGTAGAGAGGCAAATATGAGAGATCGGATGAAATTCACAGCTAAGTAGGGAATCGAATCTGGATGAGGGAGCCTTACTTTCAAAGATAGGGGTTCAAAATTTGAGGGTTCGGTTGGAGATTCTCTAACTGTTAGCCTTGCTCTAAGGTTGCGAGAAGCCTCATACCTATTTTAGTAGAGTTCTTAGAGCAGCTTCTATACTAAATCCAGAAGCTGCTAAAAAAAATAGTTATTTTCTGAAAAATGATCCTATAAAAAGTGCTCCCGATTCACTCCACGGTCCACGCCAAGCACAATCGCTTTATGCCGAGTCAATTAAAATCACAAGAGTACATTTTCAAAAAAAAAAAATCACAAGAATTACTTTCAGCATAGAATATAACTTCTCTCTAAGAATGAGGACAGGAGCTCTACCAAAACCTCATTTGAAGAGCGATCCTGTTATCCATATATGGTACGTACAATTCATATTTTACAAAAAAAAAGTTCCAAAAAAACCTTGATTGAAGTACTGTACTGTGCCCAATAAGCACGTCGATGGATCACAAGAATGACAAGAATGACAAGTATGAAGTTGAACTCCAGTGTTGAACCAGACAAGAGAATTCTATTTCCAGCAACATCTATTTACTAGCTTGAGCTTATCAACCAGAAATCAGCCCTGCTTTCGAACATTATTTTTCTCTCACAACAAATCAACCCTACAAATCAGCCGTAGCCGCAATAAGTCCTGCCGAACAAAGCCTTGCGGAGAATCAAACACATTACCTGGGATGGAGAACCGGCGAACTGCAACCTAGAAGGAAAAATTGGCAAGGCAAAATTGAATGGTCACTGATCAATAAATTTCAATAAACGATGTAGGCTCCATGCCTCCATGGACTAGACGATGAAATTATCCATCATGTGGTTGATCACGTCTGCTCCATCCGAGTTTAGCCAATAGCTTTTAACCTGACATTGACCGAATAACAGATTATTCTGATGAGCATGTGCCAGGCATACACAATGTTGGGACTTGGGAGGATAAGTGCTAAGAAATGATCAATTCGGGCAAGAGCGTGCACAGGCAATGTCATCTTTAATAAGCAAAATAAAAGAATATTACTTCCCAGAATGAACCGAATGCAGCCTTAATAATGGTGGTGCCAGAAAGTCTGAAGTACTGACAGATATTAACAAATTGTGTACTGAGCTTGTAAAATAGTCAAAAGGCATCTCTGCAACCAAGAGGTAACACACACTTCGCCAATTTATTTGTTTAGTATGTATCTACCAGGCATTGAAGATATAAATTCGGTTGCTCTTTTGTGTGGCTGTTGCTGTAGGCATGGCTGCGGCTGCCTCTCACGGAGTACTGTGCAAACAACAACAGCAGCAGCAGCAATAGCTATAACGAACGTGCCTAAAATTGCTGATACGAAGCACCAACACCATCAAATAAAAGGATAAATTTGAACTATGTGAGTAAAATAGCCAAGTCCATGCAAGCACAGAGTCTTCTAGGAATATCACACTAGATACAACACACAAAATACACAAACTAGAGAGCCCTCTACTACAATCCTGATCCAAGCTGCCCAAGGGAAGTTCAGATGCCAGAAAATGAAGATATCCAGTAAAAAATATGAACTTAATCAAAAGACACTACAGTTTAACAAGTTTTTTAATAAAAAATACAGTTTGAATGGGCAGTGTTGGGATTGTAACTCTCCTTTAATGAAATGATCAGAAATTCTCTTGTGTGTTCGAAAAAGAAAGAAGTTATTAAAAATTTGTACCTGAATTGTGTTATGCGCAACTAATCTTTGGCTGCTTTTCTGGAAGCTTACATCAACACGTTCCCATGGAACTTGCGTAAGGCCTCTTATCATCTCCTCTGCATATAAGAGGGATTTTTATCAGCTGTTGTTAAACAATCAATTGTGGGGTTTGGGATAATCTAACAGCTTAATTTGAAGTAATAATTATAATGTTCTGTTAAGATACAGTATGTAGGAAGCTGACAAACATATCGGAATCATTAATGAACAGTACAAGTAAATCCTTCCATGTAGCAAATTTGACTGCAATGGTTGGAGAAATCACAAGAAATACAGCCTTTATAACTTCATTTCAGAAAGATATCCTCTCATTACAATGCAAGAAAAGATGTTGAAGATGCAGCAGTACTAATGGAAGACATGCCTAATTCCCTCGCCACAGGGGAAAAAAGGAAAGGAAAGACGTGGTTCATTTTTCTCTAGGTAGACAGATGTGAACCGAAGCTACAAGGTACAGCACATCCATGATGCAAATTCCAGCAAATGGCTTGTGCATTTCTCATAAAAAACAGATTGTATGAGAAGTAAGCATACCTTCTGGATCATAAAGATCAGCATGGGCTTCTGTTCCATTGTTGTCTGTAACTTCCTTTTCAACATAAACAATATGTGGATACTTTTCATCGCGAACAAGAAGACGATGCTACAGGTGTTGAAGAAAGGCAAGTCAGCTCAATGACAAACAAATGATTCACTCTATTTCTATAGAGAGCAGAAGCTACAAACATGCAAGTACTGCTAATACATACTTTTGGCAACTCATGCTGACGTCGGATTGATGATGTTCTCCATCCAACCATATCTTTTTGTTTAGTTAAGTGGATAACATGTCAGAGGTAAGAAGTGTAACTCGGCACTAATAATTAGTACACAGACAAGAAATGAAGCTGTTAAAGGATACGGTCAAAATTGGCATTAGCATATGCTACGCGCCGTTTGAAAGAACGCAACGCTGATCTGCATAAGATAATATACTGTACTTAGACTTGACACAACCTAAATAAAGAATAAAAGGACCTGATTTCTATACAGACACATTTTATCAATCATTTCAAATAGAAAGGAGAAGTGTACACTAAATAACCTGAACTGTAAATCACCAGAGTCATCAACCATTCGAAGGAGGAGTGGGCGTCTACCATCATCATTGTCTGTAAGGAATAGATGCTTTCCAGTTCTCCCAACAATCAAATGTGCAGTTTCTGAAGCTCTTCGCTCAAGGAAAGGCAGGCCACATAAAAAAGGTAGCTGGTGGAAGAATCTGAACATGAGACTAACATTACTGAAGAATTTGAATGTTCTTGCTCTACTTCAAGTGAAATCAAGGCACTTCATGATTATACATAATGCATAGGAAAACTAAATTAACAGAAATAACATGAGTGTCCATGAAATTAACAGAAATATCATAATTAAAGTTCTATATGAAATTGCATGGCTGGCTAACTTTCACAGATTAGCTAGAACATAATATTCCAACAACATTGCCAATAATCACTTTAAAGTTTAAACAATTAGTGGGTAGCCATGTGGAGTTAACATAAGAAAGAATAAATGGACTGATATAGCTCTTTTTCATTAAACAGCAAAAGAGATCCGGCTTACCTGTTTGTTTCCACTTGAACCCAAATGTGGTGATGCAAATGTTATGAAATTCATAGGTTCTAAACCAGCAATGTGACCCTCCAAGTGCTCAACATCATCTCTGCCCCCAGAAGATTTACTTCTACTATTAGGTTCATAGAGCCTTCCTATAGCATATCTGGCAACAAGCCCACCAAGAGAATGTGCCACAAACGAGATTTTCTTCACACCTCGTCTTTGCTCTACAACTGATAGAACCTATAATAATTCAGTTAGGTCTCAACACCAGACAATAAGGCTGAAATATAGTACTTCCATATATGAAAAGAAGCCCAGATACCACCAACTTGACACAAACTAACACGATCAACAATTTTCACTTCAACAGGGCATGTATACAATAACAAATACAAAATAGATGCATGTGGTTAGTTTAATGTAGAAAGAAACAAATTAGATGAATTAGCCAGACATGCACGTGCAGTCAACTTCTATGATTCTATCTATCTTTCTTGAAAATAATTAGCCAAATCAAAAAGATATACCTCATTTGCTAGCCTTTCACCCATTAAGTCAACACCGTCAAATGTTTGAGTGGCAGAGTTGCATTTACTTCCTGCATAAAAAAGGTTAAGTCTGAATCTATTTACAAGAAAAGGCAAGAATCACAGAACATAGAGAAGATGAATGCCAATTTCAAAAGAGATTCCACAAAACTACATTTACACTTTCCAACCTATGAACAACACTATACTTCTAAGAACTTGTTTCAAGAAAGCACTCTTTAAAAACAGCTGCACTTTTAAGGGCTGGAACAGCACTGCCAAGTGTGGTTGACTACTTGACTAGGAAACAAGGCAGTTCATCCTAACGCCATCACACTGGTATCGACTAACTTGCCACACAAGGCATAATGTGGCAACATTGAAAAGTGCAGCTTGGATAGGATCAGGTTTTGTAAACTTTAGGCAAAAATAATGCAGTTCTGAAACCTCTTTGATAGTTTGGGCACAGAAAGTCCATTTTTATAAACTTTCAAAATCTGCATAACTTCATGTGTGCGGTCCAGAAAGAGAAGGCATAAAAGAAGATCTACGTGCTTCCAGAGTTCCTTTCAACATAGACCTATAAGAGAATGCCTATCGCAATATATAATACCAGGTCATGTCAACTAAGAGTTCTGGGATGAGAACTATTTTCTTGAATAAGATAAGGTACATAAGAAGATAAACAATATTTGCATGCAAGTAGCCAACTAGGTGATGCCACAAATGCATCTTATTACTGCAATTTAGGAACAAAGAGTGTCGAAATAGTAATGGCTAATACACACTTCCTCATATTAACCTTTGCTAAGTCGCCATACAAGGACATGGTTACTTCATCTCCAATTCTCCATGCCAGGTTCTGTTTCCTATGTATGTCACACTGTCTCCTAACAGATATGTCAAAACACTTGTCACACTGTGTGGTGGATCAACTCGCCCTCATGTTTCTCTTTCAAACAGTAACTTGTGTAATAAATAAGACTAAAAATTTGAGAAGTGCCTAACCTCCCACTTTCTAGTCAACTAGACAACTATTTGCATGTTGAATGGACTGACAGACACTCAATCCTCCATAATTATTTCATATATCTCAACTTCATGTTGTCACCATCATGTTTGTTCTAAGAATGCCTTCAGCACAAGTCTACACACCAGTATCAACCAATTTCCTCGGCGGTTATTGTGTTTCAGCAATCTAAAAACGATTCTCTTTATCACGATTTGGGATAATAAACCAATATCCTCATGATAATATCCCCCAGAGCAATGTAAACACAGCACACGCACACTACTACCCATGACTCAGCGAGCAACTTTAACAATCCAGCGTGAAATGGAACAGCCTACAGAAAGGGGTCAGGTAACTCACGGTGCACGATCACCTTGTCCGGCATCCGCCTCACAAACTGCTCCGCCGCGAACTTCCAATCGTCCGCGCTGTATTAAAAATAAAACAGAAACAGGCGAAAATTTAGCCACGGCACATCAGCACGCGCAAAACGCGCGACTAACAACTACGCCGTAGCGCACGCGGATCCACCTCCCAACGAGGCCATTGACCATGATGACGAGGTGCTCGGGGAACGCCCCAGCCTGCGCCACTTCCGCGTCAGCACTCCACACGTCCTCCCCTCCGCCGCGCGCCGGCTCCACCTCCACCTCCGGCCGCTTTCCCTTCATTGCCTCCTTCACCGCGGCCGCCGCAGTGGCCGGCGACGGCGCCGGCCGGAAGCACCCCATCCATCTCTCTCTGCCGCTCCTCGCCGCCGCTTCCGAGGAGCGAAGCACGAGCCGCAGCCTCGAGACGGCGCGCGGCAACCGGGAGGACTGGGCCCCGGGGGCTGGAGTCGCCGCGCGGCCCATCGAGGCGGCAACGGCGGTGATCATCCGGCGACGAGGATGGGGGCAGGGGGGAAGCTGTACCGGCCGCGTAGACCTAGATGCACAGCGCGTCTACTGGTGGTTACTCCCCGGGGAAGGTGGGGACCGAGGGAACGCGGTGATGAGGGCTGAGGAGTGAGGAGGGAGAGAAGCTCCGGGACGAGCAGGGCAAGGAAGATGACAATGATTTGTACTGTGCTGAACGGAGGTGACGAGAGGAAAAACAAAAGCAAGCGAAAATGTCTGTTCAGTTCATGGGCTGTAAAGCGCGTAACAAACCAGCCTCCGGCCTGATCCAGTGGCTGACGATGGACCAACCACCTCTCTGCTTCACGTTGCAACGCTTTCCTTTCTTTTACACCAGGAGGCCAAGTCGCACAAAAAGGACAATGTAATGACGCTGTCTCGTACATGGTCTCATATGGTGCTATGCAAATTTTTTTTGAAACGGTCAGCAGGGAAGCTCTCTACCTATTTTTTTTATTTTCAATTAAATAAAAGAATACAGTACGTCTAGGTTACAAGGCTCCCAGAGCCAATAGAAAAAAAAAGAAAAATACATTAAGTGCTATGCAAATTTAAGACGACTTAACAGGCAATATGTACAATAGTTATTTTTTAAGTTGCCTCGTAGTAACTCATAGTTTCTTAATTTATACATAGAATTAGAATAAAAATAAAATTGTGAGCTACATGACAACGGTATAATAATTATCCCATAGTTCTAAATTTTAGCTCGTGACGTGGTTTATTCGTGAAACAAATCAAAAATCCTACGTGGCACTGCATGAGATGGAGTATGAGACCGCTGTCGTATAGCAATGTACTTGCCCTAAGTTTGCATCGTTGGATGGTAGCTCGATAAAATGTGCTTATATAACGTTTTTGTTTTAGCACTTACTAGCAAATATGCCCGTGAGTTGCAATGGGAGAATAATCTATTGCGTTGCCGGTGGCACGAGCAGAGACAATTTTCACACTCACCGAGTTAACATGTGTCCGCACCATTTAGGGTTAGGGTGGGGGTTGCAATTGCACCTAGCCGGAGCTTGCTTCCCCAGGGCTGTCCCCAGCCGCGCCAACTAGCCACTGGCTGCGGTTATATCTGGCCTCTGGCGACCCTCCAATTACCCGGACCAAGTTTAAACTGTCATCATTGGCTCACATTCAACTTAGACGTGAGTTGTTCTAACTCGTATAAGCATGGCTCATGAGTCCGCATCATATATACAACCCAATACATCTTGGAATCGGACTCCATATCGAGCTAGATGTGAGCTATTCTAACTCGCATGAGCATGTGTTATATAAGCCTGGATGAAAGAAGCTCCGCTATCGGGTAGTTAGGGAAGGTGGCCCAAAAAAGAGGTTGAAATTTTGGTTCTTTAATATCCATATAATTAGGTATAGGTAGATCTACAAGGAGTAAAAAATTGAGAAAAATAATTACATAAAAGCATAGACCTATAGATACAACAAAATCTTTATACTAAAGCATATGATATTATATGTTTATTGTGTAGCCCTAGTCAAAGCGAGTGAAAAAAATTGGTTTGGTATTTTTTTTTAGTTTTCTGTAATTTTATGTGATTTTTAGAATTCTTAACTGGTTTAAAAGAAAAGAAAAGAAAAATAAAGGAAAAGGGCTACTGTGCAGCTAGGCCATGGGCTTTGGCCCAGACCACTGCGCAGCCAGCCCAGCCTGGGGCCAAATCCGAGACCCACCACAACAGGCCCAAGCGAAAAAAAGAAAAAGGGAGTTTTGTATTATAAACCCTAAATTTGTTCCTAAAACAGTTTAAGCCCTTCTACTATTTCTTTATCTCTGGTATCTTTGCATCTGGAACCTGTTATTTGTTTCTAATTCCTCCTTCAACTCCTTCTCGTTCTTTGGTCGCCAGAATCAGACGACGGTCTTCCGGACGGAGGGGGGAAGCGATGACGAGACTGAGGCAGATTAATAGGTTGGACGAAAAATTTTTGGTGGCCGAAATTTTGCCTCTTTAGTATTAGGTATTAGGTATAGATACAAATGTTATATAAGCACTTATCACGTTACAATATTTGTATATCTAATAAATAACCGTAATAATACTTGCAAAAAAAGTGTAATAATGTGGTTCCATAAATTCTTTTAGCAAATTTGTCACGTATAAAAGGTCACCCGTACCAAGTAGATGAAAATCACGGCGCAATCTTCACATGCATGTTAGATCAAGATATGTTGCCTATTTTTCGTAATTATTTTCCTTATTATCTAAAATAAAAAATATATTTCCTTATCATCTAAAATAAAAAAGATATGTTGCGTAGGAGGGAGTAGCTCACTATAGCCATTCAGTTTTGGAGACAATTTTAGCGCATAATACGAAAGATAATTGTCAGCTTATTTGAGCCACGCAGATAGTCAAAGTGCATAGCTGAAATACTTCTTAGTTAAGCTCAGATGGTCGTATCTGGCTTATAAGTCATGGCATATCAGCCAACGAACGGTATTTTTCTCTCACACTAAATCAGCCAACAATACTTTCAACCATGGCTTATAAGCCAAACAAACTCAAATAAACAGGGCGATTGGTGACACAACGCAAGAGTGAATCCCCAATACATAACCGCGAGATGTTGCTGGCACAAGAGAGAATATATAACCCGCAAGATGTATTCAGCTAGTGGCCTAATATATAAGTATAGCGTCAGAGACAGAGGTGAATATCTTAATTGGGCATTTAGCCATTTACGGAGTACTTTGCAACAGTTGATCGACTTTGGCATTGTTTTGATCTGGCCGATAAAGCGTGCGTTCAAACTAGACATGGATGTCTCAGCCAATACGTTAAATGCAGGTCTCTGGCTTCTTTCAATCTAACTTTTGCAGAGTGGTTTGGCTCCCGTTGGCTCCTGTCGCCGTGCATCAAGTTGCTTGAATCGCGACGTGCCTGACATAAATCTATTTTTAAGGGTCCGTTTGGATTTTTAGAATTAAATTTATTCTAATTATAATTTAAGCATAGATTAATTAAGTTAATATAGTTATATATGAAATATATATGTATATTTATTGTTAGGCATACAATGGACATACTTATATGTTACATTTCTATTGTAGGGAAGTGGGTTGAAGAGTATGCTATAAGTTGAAGAATATAATTATAGCAGAGTGATCTATAGAATTTATTTTCATCTCCCACCTTATGAATTTGAGATAGGCTTATTTGTGAGCTTGAAAATGTTATAGAATGTCAAATTTCAACCCAAATAGCCTAATCTATTATGTAGATTTCAATTCCTTCAAAATAAAAAGATCCAAACGACCTCTCAATAAATTTTTAAAAAGTATTCTTCAACCACCCTATTTTACTTTTCATAAGGCTCTCGTGCATATCTCTATTATGTCCATAACTTGGAGTTACGAGTTAAAATGGTGTACATCTAATCATGATAGAGTTCCATCGTAAGATGTATTGAAACAGATTGCACAACCATTATATAGATCTCTGAGTCATAAGTTGTCTAGATAATGGTGCGATAAGATGTACATTCCGTTACAATGTTCGGGTACGCTTGCTAGCTCGATCGAATAAGACTTAACAAAGTTAGAGTTGTGAAGCAGATCCAAGTAATTGTCAGTCTAGAGAAGAGGTCTCGAGATCGTTAATATAGAACGTGGCGTAGGGGATTGCGGAACAACCCGAAACCATGGGCAAGAAACCTGGTTCTTGTATTTTTATTTGTTTGCAAGTTTCTTGTGTGACAACTAGGATTCATGTTGGTGTGTTTAGCTTAGGGTTCATACTTGGTTTTCTACGGACCTTACTCTTAGAGTGAAATTTTGTTAAGGACATAACTAATATGTTGGCCCTAAGTACGCATTAGATTGGTTTTGTAGAAGATAGAGTAGCCAATATGCTAAAATGTTTTAGAGTTTGCATAGCCTAAGGTTGTTATAGAGCTGTCGGTGTTTGTAAACCAGACTAGTAAATTTATACGATTGTCGCGCTGCTCTAGGAAGACGATGGTAGCATTTAAAAGACATGAGAATTTATACTGGTTCAGGTCAGAGTCCTATGTCCAGTCTCAGAGATGATCGAGTGCGTGTTCCTCACTTGAATGCTTTGAAGTTCTTACAATGGGGGGGTGCAAGAATAGTGGAAGAGGTAGGAGAGCTAGAGCTAGAAGATGGACTACTCGAATGAGAGCATCGAGAGTCTAGGAATGATGAAGATGTTTGGAGGGGTGCCCTGGCTGCCCTTATATAGAGTCCGAGGCCAGGTCACGTAGGTTCTCCCGATCAAGGGGTCATGAGCCTGAGGGAGGGAACCTAGCTAACTTGGCTTGCATGTAACGCCGTCTTGTGGTGCATGTCTAGACGTTGTTGTTGTCATGGTCTTATGTCCATGTCGCAGCATGGTGTGACGTGGTGCTATAGTGCCGTTCGTGGCGGCACTGTGGGCATGTTGGTGCTTCGCCAACCGTTCTGCACAATGTGGTCTTCGTCGTGGCCTTCATCATCGCTTCCTAATCTCTTGAGGGCATCATACATGAGTTGGTAGCCGCATCCAGGTCGTTGGTCGTCTTATTAGCCTATGCAGTTGGTGGCCATAATCCTGGGCTCTAGGGTCATGGCCCCTATTGGCTTGGATGGCCTCTAAGTCAAGGGCACCATCGTGGATCCCATCCCGTATTTGGTGGAGTCATACGTGTGTATCATCGGGCCATATTTGGACGGTGGGTCACTGTACTAGCCGTCACCGCTTGGTGGTGTTGTCTTATCTCTACTGTGTGGCGTAGGGATGGCATCTGACCGGACTAAGGTGACTGCTGTCCCCTCGGTCCTTGCGAGGTTAGTGCAGCGTGCCTGCTCCTATCAGAGAAGGCATGCTTGGCGAGACTCGATCTCTCCCCATTCCTCCCAAGGGCCGAGGTGGTGGAGTGGTAGTGTGTCCTCGTGTGTCATGTGACTGAGGCAGATGGAGGGGTCGTGATGACCCCCAGCCTTAGAGTTTAGC